TATTTAGACCTCTCGCTCTCCTCGCGGAAGCAAGACGGCAAGCCGCAAAACAAACAAGTGCGAATGAGATATGTACAAAAATTGCTAGGAATTTCCAAGTCCATTGGATATTCGTCAATTCATATCTGCGACATTGAGCGATATGAAATATCTGGAGCAATTAGAAGCAATATCGCCGAAATTATTTATTGAAATTTATTAAATTTATTGAAATTGCTCCATTAATTGCTCCAGATCGGTCCATTCGTGTCGCCGAGCAATTATTGCCCTCGTGTAAGCGCACCTTTAGCATGTCTGCTCCGCCATTTAGCGTCCTGAATGCATGCTGACGTATTGAATGAACAAATATAATATTTAACATTTATCTGGTTATTTATATTTTACCTGCGTATTATGTTGTCGCATTTTACAAGACCACTCCCGTGTACTTCCTTGCAATAACCTTTGGTTGGTCTTTGTGCAATCTTGCGTGTTGTTCCTACGAGAATGTAAGTGCGTGCTCCTATTTCACCATTCCTCCTGCTGATACAGGACAAATCTTTGTTTTTAATTAATTTTATTATTATTTTTTACTTAAGATGTCATGTGGAACATGGAGTGATGGTTGCAGCTCCTTACAAACGTTGTGTAAACGAAAAAACTTGGCGATTAAAAAGAGTGGCGGAGAGTTTATTGCCAGTTATTATCTACCGTTCTACGTCCTTGATTTGAGAACTAGCAGTAAATGTAAAATTAGAAACATTTCATTTTTTTTTGACGTTCATAAGTGTACATTGTGTTACCTACATAAATAAATGATTTTGAATTTAATCGTTGAGTTAAATTATTCATGATAGTAATATTTGTGAGTGTGGAGAAGATATTGGTGACCTCGACCATATTTTCTTTTCTTGTTCCCAATATGACCGTACCTCCTTTCTGAATTCTTCACAATCACTTCATGTTCCGTTTCCGACTAAAATCTCCTGCCTTTTGCTTTATCTTTTATTGTATTATAATGTATTGTATTATAATGTAGCTGTTGCCAAAAAGTAAAAAAAAAAAATGTCATATTCTAAACATATCACTATATACTAATATAATATAGTTCTCGATATTCTAACAATGCCAGCTATTTGTGTTTGTGTACAAATACATTACTCTTAAAAGCTTTAAAAGCCTCAAAGTACTTCTTTGTAAAAATATCTCAAACGGTATAGTTCTCATAAAGTGAATTATTTTTAGAACGTTTCGTACATTTTTCATTGTTATTTGTGACAATCGTTCCAAATGACGAGACGTAACTACGTTCGTAATTTAGCTACAATATTTATGGCACGATCACAAGGATTTCGCTTTTGCTTAATTGATATTCACGAGAAATAAGATCCCACATAAGTTAAAAATGGATTTAACAATGCAACACGAATCCTCAATTTTGTTTTTAATATTTGTTAAAATTGTCTATGCATATATGTTACACGTATACATATATTTTTAACCTACGATATTAAAGAATTCAATAGTAATAGTTTTAATAAACAGTCAATAGTTAAGAATACATATAACGATTGTAAGACAGCTCAAAGATCTAACAAGATTAAAATATAATCTAAGTGCAAACGTGGTACGAATTCGATTTGTAAAACATCGAAAAAAGAGTTATAAAAAGACAGTTAGAAAAGCGTAAAAAGGGAGATATAAAAGTGCCGTTTCTGAACATTGTGTCATTAGAACGGTGGATAATAAAACGAAGCTAAAACACAATCACGGCGCGATGATAAACGTGGCACTTTCAATTTATCGTGACTATCATGAAGCAGTAACATGGACGAAGGAATGGCCGGGTATAACTCGCCCATTTATGTCGTATTTCACGTTCAAAACGTAATGGTTTCACGTACGTCTGGCCTTGACAGGTAAAAGGCAAAGATAAAAATCCTCGACTGAAATAAAATTACACCAATACATATTTTATATAAGAAAATATCTGAGCTACGCCGTTTATGGTTGACATAATTTGATATTTTTCTCTTTGCGACTTGACTAAACTAATGGTATCCTAGTCCACTAAGTTTCTCCTTTATCTACTCGTTTACGTGGAAGGCAGTACTTTGTACATACCGGGCTATATTCATTTTAATGCATGATTAAGCTATATATGCAACTGATAACAGTAGAATTCAGTTTCTCTATATAGGGGTCCATAATAAGTTTATTAGAATTATTGCACAACATCTGCTACGTCAGTGATTCTTAAAATGGAATTTTAAAATAATATAATTCATACGCCCACGAATGGATGCGTTAGATTTTTCATTATTATTACCATATATCCAAGGCTATTAAAATATATAACGAGAGCTAACAAAAAATCGTTGTAAACGTTCATGCATTTTTAACAGTACTGCCGGAAAGAGTTTTCATTTTATCTAGTCTCTAGAAAATTCTGAAATATGATAAAATATAAAATTGTATTGGTCTTTACCATCTAAAATATTCTTTGTTATTATACTTTATTACTAGTACGATTTGATTGTAGTTTATTAATTATTGACGTTTTTATATAGTTATAAAGATAGAAGTTTCAGTGAACCCTTAATGATACTAATTTTAACACACTGTATTGAAATTAAATATTGATTCGATAATTGCTTTAACACATTGAAAGCGAACTGTTTTACTACATTTAATTTAAACTTATCCATAAAAAATTTACACAATTGAAACCGTAACGGATAATTTTTTTTGTATGCAGTTACTTACAAAAAATTTATGTTACTTTGTCATTCTCGATTCGTAACTGGTGAAACTGATTTAACTATTTGATCAGAAATTCCAAATTCTACTCTCTACTAGACTACGACTAGGGTTAAATTAAGCCGTATTTAACATCACTTGCATTTTATTTTATCTGATTAGGCGTAGCACTTAGACCGGAAGTGCTACGGCGTAGATATACGGTTAAACTAGTATTTTTTAACATTTATCTAGAACGGACAAAAAACATTTAGAGATTTTTAGAAAAAAAAACCAACTTTAGGATAATTTAAGTCGTGCCCAATTAATTATTCCAGTTTCAAATAAAATATTATTTTAAAGAAATATTAATTTTGTTTTATAATTAATAAGTTTGTCAAACATTTAATATTATTCTTGTATTTCACTATCACATATTCGCCGTAGCGGTGCGGCTTTCCGGTATATTGTGGACGCGACACAACACGACGTCTCTTCGGCGCGCGCCCGACTGCGCTACCCTTCATTCATTGAGGCCGTGTTTACCTTTGCACTTACAATCGATCTCACGGCTTACTCGAATTAAAAAAAACTCTTCCTATCTTTTCCTGTAGAGTAGTGGTCAAGATATCTTAATCGAGATTAACCATACTTTAGAAGTGGATACCATATCTTTTAAAAAACTTTTTAATGTTCGGTGGTGTCTAGTAATTATTGTTTACTGTAGGAAAAATTAAGATTTTGAATGCAGAGGCTTTAAATCAAAACGTATATATGTATATGTCGTTGATACTGCCGATGGCTGGCCATGCGTCATGCTCGTGAACCGGTGCTGCTTGTGGTGACTTGGATTTCGACTATGTGTTTGCGTGTTGTTCCCACGAGAATGTAAGTGCGTGCTCCTATATCACCATGCCTCCTGCTGATAGAGGACAAGTCTTTGTTTTTTTTTAAATTATGTTATTATTATTAATATGTGATAACTAATATGTTAACTTGATATGTCATGTGGAACATGGTGTAATGGTTGCAGCTCCTTACAAACGTTGTGTAAAAAAAATGGCGATTTAAAAGAGTGGCGGAGAGTTTATTGCCAGTTCTTCTCTTCCGTTCTACGCCCTTGATTTGAGAACTGGCAGTAAATGTAAAATTAGAAGCATTAATATGTATTTCTTTACTGACGAGTCATAAGTGTTCATTATGTTACCACCATGATTAAATGATTTTTTTTACTGATGCAAAAACATACATACACTTAGCTAAGCAACTGGGTATATATTGGATAGCAAAAAAGTAAACAAAATTCTTCACAATTTGAAGGTAAATGAGAACGAATACGTATGATTTTCTCTTCAATATTATTTAATAAAGGTATCTCGATCGATATTTTCGTAGTAGAAGCATTGGTATGTGTGTCCGATGTGACACTCATATTTCGTGGCTCCGGGGTTGACTGCACCTCGCCACACTTTGTTACTCCATTCCGGTCAATTCATTTCCATATTTCTAGACTTTTGACATAATTATGCTGGTTTAAAAATTAATTAATTCGTTTGCAATTTCAAAATATACATCATTATTTTGAACGTAAATACTCTTTGCAGACAATTGTTTCGTTAAATATAATGGTTGTTCATTTTAATTTAATAAAATTGATGATAGCTGTCACAAAAATTATTAAAAATAAATGTCTTGTGTGACCTCCCCTTATTCGTAAAGATATGACCGTTAACCTGATGATTCTGGGAATGATTTCCGTTGAATAGTTTGCATAGAATAGTTGTTTCACTACCCAATATCTAAAATATTATCAATACAGAAATTCCCTATTAAAAATCCTTCATAAGTCTTACAATTAATATTGAAATCATATTCTCGATACACCCTCTGTAAACAAGTGACGGATTAATTGGATCAATCCTCTGCTCATTACGTAACGTCGTGAAAAATTTCTGTTTAATTATGAATGATGGAGCTAATTAAATGAACCGCTAATACATGCCGTTGAGCCTCAGCATCTTCAGAGATGTGCCAAATTTCAATGTTAATGGAGCTTCACATTGATGAATGATCGATTTTTTTGGGGTCAACATGACGAGGCCGAAATTGCCTAAAAGCGACTTCTATTGACGTTATCTCTCGACCCAGCTGCAATTAATCACTTCACTCTCAATTATCACCTTTATTAGGAACGACGTTAAATCAAACGTTCTTCTCACAAATTAAAGACGGTTTTCTTTGGATAAATTTATTGAACCTAAATAAAAATTAACCTACAATTTTTAAGCTATTAAATTCGACCAGGTTTTTCTTAGCAAATCAGCTGCCTTCTCGCCAATCATTATTTCCGGAGCAATTGTATGACCACTGATTGTTTTTGGTAGGATACTTATATCCGCTACTCTGAGACCCTGCACGCCACGTACTCTTAATTCGGGATCAACCACAGCTTCACTATCGTTCTCTGGACCCATTTTACAAGTCGATGTTTGCCTTCTCATAGATACTACCATTGTTCTAATCGCGCAATCCCAGTATGGATCAGATCCTGGGGCGTAACTCGAACAGGTGGGATACGGAGCGAGATGTAGACTTGGACCATATTTTCTAAATGGTTCAGACTCTCCAAGCCCAATTAATACTTTAATAGCTTCTTTTAATGCTGCAATGTCCCGCGCGTCTGACAAGAAATTACCAAATATTTTTGGATATGAGAAAGGACTGATGTCACGAAGTTCTAAACGACCTTTTGATTTTGGATGTAATAGGACTGGTATTGCTTGCCAGGTATCGCAATCAGTCAGTGAACCGAATGAATTGTGGTATGTCCTGTCTGATATTTTCCAACTTTTTCTTATCGCAGCGCCTCCATCAGATGTGATAGATCCGCCCATATTAATAAGCTCAATATCAGGCACAAGCTCAGGGTTGTCGGAAACACTTGTTTTTATGTAACCTAGACCTTCTACTCCTCCAGGCGTTGTCAAGAGCCCATCTCCAAATTGAAGCCATTGCATCAAATTAGGTATTGTTGCTACTTTTGGTTCTATAAGGCTCGCATTACTACTATTCAATTTAAATACAACTCCCGGAAAACCGATATGATCGTAAAGAGTTCTTCCAACAGGAACGTTTGATAGTACTGGGATGCCCAACGTTTGTAGATGTTCCTCAGGTCCGACTCCGGACAGCATGAGTAATTGAGGAGATGCTATAGGTCCCGCAGAGAGTATTATTTCTCTACGACACCGTACAGTAGTTTTGACGTTATTCTTTATATAGTCTACCGCGAACGCCCTCTTGCTGTGTGGTTCGATAAGTATTTTTGTTACCCTTGCATCGGTTAAAATATGCATATTCTTGCGCCGTTTATGTTGATGCAAAAAGGCTTTAGCGGCACTAAGGCGATGCCCCTTGTTTGTGATTGTCTGAATGTAGCCAAAACCTAGTTGGTCTGGAGACACATAGTCTACAGTTTGGTACCCGTTGAGTCTACCTGCCGCTAAGAATGCTTCCACTAGTCCCGTCCTAAAATGAAGAAAAAAAATTATTAATATTATTTTTCAAATGTTTTTTTAATAGCACTGTGTTTAAATATGCATAAATTATAGAGCATCAAGTGTCAGTTTCTGCTTTTGTTATTAAAAAACAAAATTAATCAAAGTTTGTTTCTGTCTGCAGCAGAATTGATGGTGAATTGAATTTCAATATCCACTTATTTTTGTAATTTCCTTTTGATTATCATCCAAAATAATATATGAAGTGTGCGAGAAACATGAAATATTTCCAAGAGTACTTACTTGAAGGGCACATTTTCAACAGTGAGCTCTCCATCGCGACCTCTGTACGGCAGGTTTTTATACTTTTTAAGCTCGGATCGCTCCGACTTTTTAAAATACTCGAGTACTTCATTGTATGACCTGAAAAGACGAGATTATGTAACGTGGGTATGATAGATTAGCTAAGCCCTAGAATACTAAGCGGGACGTGTTATCGTGAGCGCCAGCTCGTATAACTGCTGGCGGCCAGACGTGCCTGCACTGGCCGAGAATATACTTGTTAAGTATAAAACAGCTGGCATAGATAGAAAAGCTGACCCAGCAAACGTTGTTTTGCCATGTATTTCTAGGAAACGTTTTTTAGTTGAATAAAAATAACTATCTACTATAATAAAAATAGGGGTTGATCGTAGGGGGGTGAATCGGTATCGTAAAAAATAAAAACAAAAAAAATTGTCTAAAAACTAAAAACAAAATTTTTGGGGTGGGATCTTTCAAACCCGTAAGTGATAAGGGGATATATAGTACCCCATTCTCAGACTTACTGAATATGCATTAAGAATTTCATAAGAATCAGTAGAGCCGTTTTAGAGGAGTATGGGAACATTGTGACACGAGAATTTATTAGAAGATATATATCTAGCTCCTGGATGGGTAAATTTGTGGTTAAAATGATTTACAATTGAAAAAGAATAATCGTTCTCAGATAGATCCGTCTGTAAGTTGTGAGTTAATCGCAGTACGTATTTCAAGAATCCTAATTAGGTAACTCTTATCTCGTTAGTCTCGAGACCTATTATCAAGTTATCATTGAGGGCGGTACAACTTTCAAGTGAAACAGTTTCATGAAGAGGCCGTTGACGTCAACGTAACGGTCAACTGACCTTGATTTCATACAGAATAATAAAAAATTGTATATTTAACAAAATACGGAAGGGAAAGGTTAATAAATTTGTTAGTGAAGTAGGACTAATAAAACAAAATTTATTTGTTTATTATTCTCTTAATTGGCCTTGTTTTATTATTAATACAACATATTTATTTATAGTTACGTATAGGAAAATTATTTGTATTGAAAAAGAAAGATTTTAGTAGGTCTTAGTCTCACGTGACACGATAAAAAAGAAATACTCACCATCCATAGTTACCATCAGCTGCTATCCCGTTCCAATCCTCAGGACGACCTCGGGAGTAGAACATATAGTCTGTGACACTACTTCCGCCCAGGGCTTTACCTCGAGGGGAATAGCAGCGCTGTTCCTCACTTCCTGCAATTATTTGAAGCCCGATTTAATATAAAAGCTTTTCGTGTGCGATATATTTTATAGTTTTAATTTTATTGCGTTTATATTTGTTTTAGAAGAATTCATTAACAACTAGGTTAACTTGCGTAGGCGGCTAAATTAAGTTCATGAGGCAAATAACATACAATAATACAACCTACTCGATAAACAATACTCCTACAGATTCACCTACACAATTATCTCTATATATAATACTTTTGAACGATGAGAATAACCATTTTCCTTACTCTCTATAAAGCTCACATAGTAATATATAATGCATTTATATTTTTTTATTCACACGAACAGTTAGGTTGTTTAATTATTCATAACATTAACACTTCAATTCAAATGATCACTAATATTGATTTTGAATGTGTCGATTCAATTTCAAATATACGTTGAACTTAGGTCTACAGAAACCTTTCACATAGCTAATATTGGCGTAGTCATATCTAAAGGTTTTATTTATATTAATTCGGAGGTGCTTCTGATATTATCGTAGCTTTTAACAATGGATTCGTTCACAGGTTATATCTTGCTTCCAACTAAAACTAAAATTCCTTTCATATATATTTTTTCTTTTCGTTTTTTTTTGTAAGTCTTCAAAAATGATAACATTAATCGACTATATGTCATTCTTATTGATCTAAGAAGTCTTATAGAGAATGCAGCTTTATAAAGAGTAGGAAATAAACTATTCAGAGGCCTTTAGGATAAGATTCAGTGCTAAGTACGACATCCTTATGTCAAAAACGTATTGAATTTTTACATATGGTAGCCTTGCCTGGTCTGTTGCCTCTAAATTGCTTCACGCTTAGGCTATTACCTAAGTCTAATAATATTGTAATTGTAATGTGCGAACTAAGTCTCCCACTACGTTTTGTTATAGCAAAAGTCATCTATTCTCACAATCCTAGGTGAATCAGGATATTCTTTGTTAAGAGGTATAACACTTGAACAATTTATTATGTGAAGGCTAATTGAATAAAAGAAAAAAAATGATAAATAAAATACTAAGATTTTGCTTCAGACTATTAAAATATATTTTTTCGTTTTAATATCTAATGGCGTACAAATCTTTGGCACTAATAAAACATACAAATAATTTTAAAGAAGCCTTTTAAACTGAAGCCGTGCCCTAATTGTTAACTGCTGTTATCAACAATTCGCTAACTGACAAACAAACAAGTACACCTCTGTTTGCACCTAACTGTTCAAGCCTGTGTCACTTTTCATAACTAGTTTTAGTTGTTATTCCACAAAATGCAGCTTTATTCTTGAATGCAACGTTACTTTCCAAGCTGTACACACATTAACGCGAATTCTCATCGCCCCTTTATGGACCATATTTACCGGTTCATCTTATTGCAAAAAATGATTACATTTTGTCGATCACTCACATATTTTGCCTTTCTTTGAGCTGTAGTATTAATATTAACATGAGATACACAACCGCTAGGCGCTTGGCTCGAGCTTGGATATTTCTTTGCGCAATTAATAAAGAGACATATTCGTAAAACCAACTTCTTAGACCTAACTATCTTGTACCAGGCACAGAGGAATGCTTAAATATGTCACCAATACCTAAAAATAAGCTTTCGTAATTTCCTTGCAAAGCAACAAACAGCGGAGTTGGATAATTAATATATAATATAAATGTTATTGGATTCTAATGTGGTATTTTGTTAATATGATTATATTGATACATTACTAGCTGACCCGGCAAACGTTGTTTTGTTATGATTATTTCTAGGAAAAAATTTTTTAGTTCAATAACTATTTAATTTAATAAGAAATTGGGGTTGATATTCGCAGACCTAACCGATATGCACACAAAATTTCACGAAAATCGGTCGAGCCATTTCGGTGGAGTTTAATTACAAACACACGAGTGACACGATAATTTTATATATTAAAGGATTTTAACCTTGAAAGGTTTATAGAGTCATTGGATAGTTAAAGGTTTTCAACCCTTAATGATAAAAGCGTCAATGTATATATTCATATTTACCTAGACACACGCCGGCCTGGTGTTCCATAGAGTACCGCCACACATAATCCGTGTCTTGCATGTGATGTGTCAGTGCCGGGATGTCTGACAGAATCATTTCCGGCTTGCCAGCCTCTAGTAGCAGCACCGTGGCCTTCGGCTTGTCTTCTGACAGTCGAGCTGCCAGCACAGAACCCGCAGAACTCGCTCCAACAATAATATAGTCATATTCGTCTAAGGGCTTGCTGTAACCTGGCAATTATTAAGTACTTTATAAACAAATTTTCCTTTACAGTGCGTAAATATTATCGTATTTATTTATATCGTATCGTATCTTTACATGGTTCAAGAATGTTTTTTTATTCAATGTGGTTTGAGAGCGTTGACAAAATATTTATAAGAATGTATACTTGTTTGTATTTTTAGTGAAACACATAAACGCAAACTCGTAATACTTATTATTACATATAATGATCGTTGAAATAACATTTCATGTCGCAGTCTATTTTGACTCCTCTAAGTATTAAATAATCAAATCAATCAATCAAAATACGTTTATTCAGTTACAATGCGTCTTTGGGCATGCTTATGAATGTTAAAAACGTTTACAAAATTCACGAAAGAGCAAGACTACGCCATCCGTTCGCAAAACTACCAGGAGGCCTTGTTCTGAGAAGAACGGGCAAGAAACTCAGCAAGTTTTACCCTCCCTCTACATTACAATTATTCAAAGGAAAATGTCATAAACCACAACGTCACTTAGTCACTAATAAATATAGAACAATAGAAAAATTCGGAAATTAAAATATTTTAACTACTATCATTAAATAAACAAAAATAAACTCGCAAATTCATATTTACATATTTCACTTGGAATAATTAGACTGACAACTTTACCACAACTGGAACATGAGTTATGAGTTCTAGATTTAATTCGCTCGTGGAAATGACAAAGCTTTTTCCAGCTTCCTAAATATTTATAATAGTTAAATGTGCATAGTTGGAATAATGGTCAACGTGTGATTCTCAATCGTGAGGTCGTGTGTTCAAATCCCGCCTCTACATCATTTTATTTATTTCTATATGCTGCGAATTAACCCATAAATCGACGATATGTGTAGGTTTAGAAATTCTATAAAAGAAATGTGTATTTTGAATAAACAGATTTCATTTAAGGCCAAAAGTCTCAAAGGATAAAGCGCTACTGGATAATTATTATTAACAAAAGAATTTAATACAAACATAAAAATAAATTACTTTTCAACGTCAAATTAATATATTTATATGCAAAGGACATCGGCTAAGTAGACACCTATCTTTGTACTTGATCAGTTTACAATAGATGTGAAATTTTAAAATAACAATGCATCCCACAAGTACGTAGCCAAAGATAACATCTCTATTGGCTTTAAAATATAACGATGAATCTGTGAATATTTTTCCAAAACAACTAAACTTCCGTTAACACAAATACTATTAAGACATGTCGATTTTTTATAGAACTCTTTTGTACTATGTGATTCACATACTAACACGTACCGCGTCGGAACTATGTTTAAAAAAATATGTATAAAAAATTGTACATAGTTTCTACGTATGTAATACTCTCCAGATGTATCAAACTATTATACTTATTCTCTACTTATACTGACGTTATAAGCTGAACCCTGCTTATTTTGGATACCTATACCTAGTTTTAAATTCAATTAACATGTAATATAATATTCACATAACATTTTACATACATATATCAACCCTATTATACGAAAATATTAATTTTCAGCTTATATTAAAACGCCCTAGACCGTATAATTTGAAATTATTGTTAAACTTATTATTAACTAGGTAAAATACTTTTATTATTTGTAGCTTATTATTATAATTAATGATTTATTTATTTATTTAATAAAAACAGTACCAGTCGGCTTTTCTTTTACAGCTAACGTTAAGATTTAATTATATATTAGTTATGAATATAAATAATTGATTCAGATTTATAAAATGTAGCATTCATTTTAATTGTATTATAATAATTATAAACCCATAAACTAAACGATTGCTTACCTTTTGGTAACGGATAAGAATCTCGTAAGAAGTCGAACGGATCATTTGAATTAGCTGGTGAGTAGTTAACAGCAACTGTTTGCAGCATCATATCGACAATCGGGCTTTGTGGATACGAATAGTGGGCGAACCTGGCCACCCTATTCATGGCCTCCTCGTTTTCTCTCTGCAAAGGGTAAGGTAACATACGCCCGGTTCTTGAGCTCTCAATGTCGATCAGGTCATTGGTATCATAGGGCTCATCTTCTATGTGAAAATCGTCGTCTGTGTAAATGTCTATAGCCTGTACGATGGCTATTAGACAAAGTGCTATGAGCAGCCGCATTTTTCTGAAAATAATGTTCTGTGAGCTTCTTCTTATTTGTACTTGTATGTAACCTTACAGTTGTAAAATATACGTAACTTACACGTTTTTGCGATGTTTTAGATTTGTTCTAAATTCACATCTCTAATGATTATATTATATTATATATAAACGTACAATAAGCTTAGGTAGCTTCTCGTACAACGGACCTATTGGGCGTCTAAGTGCGTCCACTGACTGAGTCCACAAACCATAACCAAAGTGTCGGATAGTTGGAAAAAAATTTTTTACGTTTCAATTCAAAATGACAACAATAACAAGGTGAATAATATTGTTTTAAGTTGGGGGTATATACAAATGTTGTAAGTAGCTGAGAAAAAATTGATGACGGTGGCACAAAATAAAATAGGGTGGAAAAAGTTGGAGGAGGCCTTTTCCCGGACAGGGGCCGCATCGCAATAATAGAAATTTTATTTATATCTTTTTTTGTTAAATATATGTCAATAAGATGTGGATGAATAGTCTTATTATTATATTCATATGTTATTTTAATTAGTTAAGAGTTTTCATATCAATTTAGCTCCCGCAATACTATAAACTTTTTCAACGTCATAAGTAAGTTATTTTATCTTAAAAGTAAATAATAGGTAAGCATAGAACAATTAATAATAATATATAAGCGATAAGTAGTAAACAATAAAACAACTCACTCAAAAGTTATTAAAAAATGCAATATCCCAGGTTCCGTTGCGTTAATGGCAGCGGTCAGTTCGCGAATGGCATGTGGATTGTGGAGATGGCGATCTCCTGCCCCTGCCAAGTGCCTTGACCGTGCACTCTCGTAGGTCGTAGGCCCCGATACAGACAATTATTTACTTCACACCTATGACTGCACTGGTCAGACGTTCTACTTTTCAACTGTTTAGTATTTAGTACCAGTTCCCTCCAGCGAGATCGATAGTTACACCTGCGTAATGTCGGTAGTAGAGATGGATTATTAAACAACATAATTTTTCTATTTGAACCAGTGGTTCCTAAGAACAATCTTCAGCTATATAATATTAAAATACAGTGGCTGTTACCGGCGCGCAGCGGATGGGCGGAAAACTTCGACGCGCGTTCTTGACCATTCTTTTATATTAGAGTTATTATATAAATATGATATCTCGTCAGACATTCCTGGAAATAGAATTATCTTTTATTAAAAATTAAATAAAATAAATATTTTGGAATAAATAAGATTACAGCGGGTGATTCTCGCGAGTGCGTTGCCGGCCTTTTAAGAATTGGTACAATCTCTTCTTGAAGTCCCTAAGTCAAATTGGTTCGGAAATACTTCAATGGGCAGCTGGTTCCACATAGTGGTGGTGCGCGGAAAACCGCCCTAAGAAACGCTCAGTTGTGGTCTGTGGAACGACTTATCGGGAAAACATTTCGTAGACTCAAAAATTTACTTTAAAAAATGGTCAATTAGATACAGAAAGGTATGGTCTGCCTCTTAAGCGATACAACACAATATATTTAAAACCTTCAAATTTGTGCGGACATAATGCAGAATTCTATGGTTATAATGGAAAATTATAAAGATAGTTTTGACCTAATTATACATAAACAAAATGGCGAGTATTACATATAATTAAATAATCGACGTTTCTTATTACGAGTATAGGGTTATTTAATTAACAAGGAATGCGATGTATCATTATTATGGAATTACATTACTAATAATGTGTAATTATTTCGTCATCAATATTACATAAACAACTATAATACACATTTTAAATGCTAATAAGTCCAATCGATCATGTGAGTAGTGGGTTTGAACTCTGGCTTTTCTATGAGGGCAATTAACACTAATAATTAATTAACAATGAAAGAAAATATTCTAAATTTGAGACTACTAGATATTTCAGACATGAAAACGATCGGTGAAGATCACAGACCAGATTAACAAATCTGTACCACAGAGTAACAAAACTCTAGCAATCTGTCAGTGTTATTGCAAATCTTAACCTTTTTGTCTATGAAATCTATCTGTGGTTAGGCACTCTAAACAGTATATGAATTCACGGGTTATTATTTAAGCAAAACTAGCCTATTATACACACATTCAAACTTATAAAGAATATTACCGTCATTCCTAATATGAACTCTTTTTACGTAACTAATTGCATCGCTAATTTATAACTCAAACTCAAAATATCTTTATGTAGGTAAACAAGTACACTTATGAATTGTCAAGTTAAATTAATTGTAAATGTATATTTACTACCAGTTCGCAAGTCAAGGGCGTAGAACGGGTAAGAAGAACTGGCAAGAAACTTTCCGCCACTCTTTTTAATCGCCAAGTATTGTCATACAAATTGTTTGAACTGGAGCAAATCAATCCCAAGGATTAGGATCATTTAAGTATTCCTCAAATTTATAAAAAGCTTTATTGATTAATTTCCGTTTAACGAGGGCTTTGAATTTATTTAGTGATAATACTCTAATTTCGCTTGGGAGTTTGTTGTAAAAACGAATACAATTTCCATATAAGGAGTGGTTTATCTTTTGGAGCCTGGTTATATCATGATAATGTAAAAGAAACAGGGACTTTGTAAGTTTTATTAATACCGGCAACGATTCCAACAATCCCATGGCTGCGATCAGCGCTACGGATATTGACAGAACAACATCGAACTTGCATACAAAATCGTCGGGATCGACATCGCTGTCGCTATAGGAAGTTGCAAAGTAAAGCTGTTTAGGTTTCAACATTGGATAAAAAATAAATCAGTGGCGCTAGAACAGGTAGGCAGGTCTTCAGATTTCTGAATCTGTTTCATGATCATTTTTTTAAAATCTAATAGGCAAGTAGTTGATCAGCCTCTGGTGCTTGACACACGCCGTCGACTTTTTAGGTCTAAGACATGTCGGTTTCCTCACGATGTTTTCCTTCACCGTTCGAGCAAATGTTAAATGCGCACATAGAAAGAAAGTCCATTGGTGCACTGCCGGGATCGAACCTACGACCTCAGGTATGAGAGACGCACGCTGAAGCCACTAGGCCAACACTGTTCAATATCATAAGATATCTATTTAATTCAAAAATCGTACCATGATATAGTAATCTAAATTTTTTGGAGTTTACTCCTTAAGAAACGATTTGAGTTATAAGGCCCGGTACGGAAATTTTATGAGGAGTAAAATCAAGTGTAACACGAAAAGTTGAGGCGTTATGTGTAACACGAAAAGTTGAGGCGTTATGTAGAAAGAGACAAATGGATTGAACGTGTAAAAGAATGAGATGGAATACACAGACTTTTCTATTTTGAATTCACGTTTTGACAGCCACGTTACAACATTGTCAGTGTTGACAGGTGTAAAAAATAAAAGTAGTGCCATAGAGTTTTGTCAATAGTAATGGGCAGTGAAATTAAAACTAAAAAGATTGTTCATTCTTATTCTTCTCTTACTATAAAGGTAACTTTGGTCACAGAAAGAAAATCCTATTTGGGCATAGATGATGTAGGTACGTTTTATTACTACTACAAACATTTATATTATAAAAACATATATTCTTACCACCTTTAGTATGAAAATATGGTCGACAGCCACAGAACATAGCGTGCGTCGTAGCTGACACACACACACTTTTTTTTTTTATAAGCTGTATAAGAGCGTACCAATACTTTTAAAGCAACCCTTCTGGTTTTAAGTGTCCATGGGCGGTATCACTTAACGACAGATGAGCCTCCTGACGGTTTGTGATCGAATCGATTAAAAAAAAATGATGACATAATTAAAAAAATGATGATACTTTTGAAAAAGTTACTTTTATGTACCTCAACGCATCAACGCGTCATTGCGTCATAACGAATCATTTTTATAAAGTTCATAGTTCTTTAAGAAATCTCCAATAATGCCGCTTAAAAATTAAAATACATAGTACACAAATTATTTCCATACCTCGAGCATACTTTAAGCCTATGCAATAAATTCTTGAGGCATTTAATAACGGTGACAATAATTTTATAGTTTCCTTTATCAACGTAACCCAGAAAACAAAGCGACGTAAATATATTTTGGCATATTTCTACCGAAGGATAAGTATTAAAGAAGTTTATTATGGCCATAAATAGCCGCAACTGAACAATAATTAAGGTTTTAAATGCAAATTTGTAGCGTGCGAGGTTTAAGATAGCTAGAATACTTTTAGCGTGTAGCGTTTTTAAGTTCCTGAAGTTAATTTACTTATACTACTCAAAATTTTATAATAAATTATATCAAATATTTTACATACAGCGTATATGTCGCAGCCAACTAGCTTAATCAGCCGTTCAATTAACTGCCTAGCCGTTTAACAAAACGGCGCCGTTCAACTAACAGCCTGAAAGATGTTCAGCCAGTTGATTAAACGGCTAGGCAAATGACTTCGATCGATGACGTTTCATTACTTGCCTAGCCTGTTCATTAAAATTTAGTTCCACTTTTTGCCATCTGCAGCTAGCGTCAAAACTCTTCAAACTGTCAATATGGCGTCCAAAGATAACTTTAATGGTGTTTTCCAAATTTTCATGAAAAACAAGTACAATGGAAGAGTGTAGTGACAATAATAATGTAATTAAGAAATTATAAGTGAGGTATGTGATATTGAGTTGTTTCGTAATAAAAATTAAAAATAATCAGATAAATTAGGTACAAGTAGATAATCAGTCTTCTGTTTCCATTAGCAACATTTTAGATCGGCAAATTTAATTAATTATACGTATAGAAAAGCGCAAGTTGGAATCCACAATATCGGGCTTGATCGCGCGCTTAAGCACCATTGGACACAAGATATACTATAAAAATAACTTAAATCACTTGACATTAAAACAAGATAATTTAATTCAATTACGACGAGGCTCGTTCACATTCCTTTAAAAGATGATTCTTAAAGCCTATAATTTCACTCTATAAATAAGTTATATGGCGTCTGTAATTTAAATTACATTATCGTTCGTAAAAACATCGTAAATAGATTATAATCAAGAATAAAAAACTCGATATATTACTCGTAATCGCTCTCCACTATTGCGCCAAAATTTGAGTTGTCCACTCTTTGTTCCCAAAGAAAATCTTAGCTCAAAAAGTGTAATCGAAAATGTTTTATATAATTGATTTATTGTACCTAATAAAGATACTTTAACTAATTCAAGGCAGTGGCAGATAGAAGGACCAAAGGTGTCAAAGTCATCGTTCAGAAGCGCGGCATCCAAAATTTTTAAGCCATGACGATTGCCAACTTTCGACAGGATATGGGACTATAAGGTAACAACTACAAAGATACAACGCACAGAATATTACTAACAAAGAATGACTTATGTGCAAGGAAGAGGCAGTCTTGAGTACAAATAAGAATTAGATCACAAACAGCTCATACACTAACAATGCTGTAACACTCGGTTACATATTATATTATGTTTTTATAGATGAGGGTTTGACCCCATCATGGACACCTGCAATGCCGGGAGTATACGTACCGGCCATTAATCATGTTATACGCTGTTTTCTTAGCCTTTAATTTACACATATACCTCGACTGGAAGCTAAAATGACGACGCGGCGAAGAGTGTATTTCATTTCCTTAATGTTGATGATTTCTAGTTGATTTATCTGTAGAAAGTAAATTAAATGGTCCTTTGCAAATCTACGCGTTAAACCAGTTCGATTAACGTGAAAGTGATTATTTCTCCTGTCGGTCAGCAGGTCACATTAACGGTACCAAGTTTGCAAACCAGTTCATCTGTATACATAATGTTTTAGCGGTGCTTGTTAGTGTTCCGGTTTAGCAGAAATAACTGACCTTCAACTTTAATAACTTCTCGAGCTCATTAGCACCCAACTACAGTAAAAGAAAATAGTTTTACGAATAAGCTAGTGAAATCTTTATTGACATTATAAATACAAAATAATCTTGTATAATGTTACAAAAACAATAAACCTCCATTAATTAAAAATAAATCAGTCCTACATAGCGACGTTAAGTACTCGGTCTCTTTTCATCACAGCGTAAACAAGGTTTGAGAGAAAGGGACAAAGCGGTGTTAAGTTATAAAATTGCAATTAGATAGAAAGGGTTTATACATAAATTAACCAAAAATTAATACCAACAAAGCAATCGTTAAAAACAGAAAATTCAATCTGTAATAGTTTTGTGTTTCATTTTGTAAAGTATGCGTTCTGTTTCTTTCTTTTATGAGTAATTATTTATAATTAATGTCTCCAAATACTTGTTGTAAAGGGGTTTGACCTGACATAGCCCTAGTTTAAAACCCCTATTTCTTTCACTGCCATCTTGTACAAAGCTGCGGAACTTCTACGAAAAAATAAATGCTATCAGACTCAAGTATATGATGAATTTATTCTTTTCTTCCACAAACTACGTAAAATTATCAGTAGATGTCGCTGTCAGCCGTTATTCCATTTAAAAAAACACTGTATCTAGAATAATTTATTTTCTTTGATATTTTTATTTTGCATTATTACGTTTTTTATTTTTTTTTTGTACAACTGGCAGCAAAGTGGCAGGAGTCTCACTTTATGTGAAGAGAGAGAAGAGACATTGCCTTGTGTGTATTGTCAAAGTTTTCTAACCTACCTCCCTAACCTTTACACTATTTTTTTACTAATTTTTCGTGGGCATGTATGCGCTTTCGCTTATAAGCGTTCATAGATGGTCAAGTAAATATATAGCCCAGTAACGTGTTATTGGTTCGATTCCCATTAAAACAATATTTTTGTCGGCTATTAACTCCCTTTAAAATTATCAAAGAAACCGACTCAGAAAAGTCCCAAAAAGCCGCTCAAGTTAAACGAATTCAAACAAACTTTGATAAAATATTGTTTTAGGCTGTAAAAACACAGTCCCAAAATGAGATACTCATATTGTGAATACGAACAATGGAAAACTTCGCGTAGAACCTTTTTAGAGAAAAATATACTCCCTCATGAATATAAATATTAATAGACAAACCAACAAGTTTCAAGTAGTTACCACTTAAAGCGAGGTTCAAGTTTCCTTAGATGTGTTTCACTTATCGTTAAACAATGCAGTATGTTTCTAAGCACGTTCGCATCGTACGTGTTCTCTTCGTTCCCGCTTTTAGCCTATTTCCGTTCACTGAAGTGCAATTACTAACTTATCAACTGATAGAGCTCGTTTTTGCTCGCGGTTCTATAATACACCAAAGGTTGAAACATTCCTTACAGAATATGTAAAAGTGTATTCTATGAAATCTGTTAATTTTTATGTATACTTTTACTTGGCTGATTTGGAATATTTTTTTTTTAAATCTACCAAACTTTTACGATATCAGAGGTTCAAGTGCGATGTGTATCAGAGACATAAGCACTATATGATTCCAATCATATCCCCAAACTGGCGCGTGATTGGAACCCGCAAGGAAAGCGGAAGCGCCAGGCAAGTCTGGTGACGTAGTTGCAGATGAGGCAAAGAGAGCCAGAAAGACTTGGTATAATGTGAAGACCAAACGCGATGAAGGCTCAATGTGGTTGCCCTCAGCCCCACCCAGGTGGCACAGGACTTTGAGTCAATGTCTAATAAGAAAGCATCAAAGAAACATATACAGTAGTCTGAGGATCATTTAAGTAATAAAAAAACATTGTATTTCCACTGGATTTATGACTAGTTATTTCAAGCTGTGTACCAAAACATATAACCAACCTTTAGTTTAGTTCTTTCGAATGAACGGGCACAGGGTTATGTTTTTATCGAGTTACTTTACGAAAAAGTTAAAATCTGTTGCACGAAATCTAGCTAAGCACCGTTGAATTATTATTATATGTATAGTGTGCTTACAAATGCTTCCAAAGTTTTATTTAATTATTTATTAACAAAATTATCTACCATTAGGTACATATTACTCCAATGCGGTATATATTTATAAAATATACAAAACAATACATATAGATAGAAAAACAACAACACAGCATTAAACAGTTATTATAATATATACACAAAAGACTAACTATATCTTACAGTATAGAAACTGATATGAAGCAAATCTTTTGTCAGTTCAACGGACAGTTAAAAACGTCTGTTATCTCGAAAATTAAAGTATAAAAAGGTACGATGCTATCTCATACCTCGCTTTATTTGAATGAAACGATGTAATAAAGGAAACGTTATATTTATAAAAATTCACACAAAATACACAGGTTTAAAAATAACAAGTCGATCAATTGAAATAGTACACCGTTGCTCTTGCTTCCTGAAAAGAAAATGTATAAATTGTAACATTTTTATAGAAAGCTCGTAAATCTTTTCATTTCTGCGTAACGAAGAATACGTTCGCGAAGTTCAGCGAAGCAATATTAAAATTTTTACAATAGACTGTAATTTTATCAGACTTTGTTAAGAACCTTACCGCTGGCTTGATGATGTTGAGGTCTTTGTACTTCATACGCGGTGTATGCGGTAGGCATTAATCCTGAAAATTACGAAATATGTGTTACGTATAAATAAATAATAATATTTAAAACAAGCCTAACAAGCTGTATTTGCGGGACATACTTTAACCAAATTATATCGTTTCTACAACTGTTTTGTAATTAAACAAAAATATCCTTAATAAAGTGGACATGGGCGGGGCACATGGCAAGAGGAACAGAAAAGTGGAGCCAAAAAGTACTAAACTGGTGCCCAAGGTACAGGAAACGAAAAAGAGAGAGACAGGTGGATAGACCAAATTAAAGAAACAGCAAGTTGTACATGACAAAGAGTGGCACAGTGCAGAGAGGAATGGCGAGATTTAGAGGAGGCCCGTCGCCAAAAAAGGGCACACAGATACCTAAAAGAAGATTGAAATAGACACATGTTATATTTAAAAGTATCTGATTAATTCAGAGGGCAGAGGCAGAGGCTATTATTATTCCTTTTTTAATTTTATGAACGGAAAATGTAATGGCATGAATTGGCAATGCAATTCAGTTGTAGGTTGTCATTTAGCAAAGGTCATAGTAGGTAGTTAGTCAAAAATACTATTATTCGTACCTTCTTTCAATTAACAATAAAACACCTTATACCTGGATAATATATGGTTGTAAGATTTCTTGTATAATTGATGTTTGGCAATGACAATTCACATACAAATTCTTCATAGGGCGCGTTTATCTCGTCATCATGCACCTCAACAGTCACAGCCACGGAGTACAGTCCCCAGGAATTCATCTTTATTTCCATCACAGATTGTTTTAGAATCTCGCTGAAATGTATATTGGATTTATTACAAGTTTGTCACGTTATGTTAAATATCCCACAGTCATAAAACATGGCAGAATGTTGCCAAAAATTAATATATACTGCTCAAAACAATTAGCGGAACAAGATTTTTCTCCTTTCTATTCCTTAAACTAAAATTAGATTTAAATTAACTTGTACGCTATTTTTTACCTTGTTAATTTGTTAATTACCACAATTAATAAAAAATTCAATTTGTATTTTTTTTATTAAAAAAAAATTAAAATGTGCATTGTAGACGAAAAACTAATTGGTGATAAAAAAGGTCCATCAAAGAAATATTCTTATATCGTTTGAATATTCGTCTTTGGTGACTTTCAGTAACGTGTGTGGCCTCCATGAGCCCTAATCACGGCTTGACAACGACGCGGCATGCTTCGTATGATCCTCCGAATATCTTCTTGTGGAATTCGCTCCCATTCTTCAATCAACGCTTCAGTGAGCTGCTGCAGTGTTTGAGGTGCAATCGGACGCTTCCGGATGCGCCTGTCAAGCAAGTCCCAAATGTGTTCAATTGGATTTAGGTCAGGGCTCATGGAAGGCCACTCCATTACACGGATTTCCTGCTGTCGTAAGTAATCTGACGTGATGGCTGCAGTATGCGGCCTGGCATTATCTTGCATTAAAAGAAAATCTGGGCCCATACCATATGCTGCGGGCCAAACATGATCTTCGAGCACATTTTCAATGTAAGTTTGAGCACACAAGCGCCCGGGAACAACGACGAGATCTGTGCGCTCGTCCAAACTAACTCCGCCCCAAACCATCACAGAGCCACATCCAAATTTGTCATATTCCTGGACTGCTGCTGCACTGTATCGCTCGCCTGGGCGTCTGTAAACACGGAGACGACCATCGCAACGTGTTAGACGGAATCGTGATTCGTCAGTAAAAAGCACTGGCCTCCAATGTCGAAGTTGCCAATTAGCGTGATTTTGCGCGAACTGTCGGCGAGCTTGTCTATGTTGAATTGTTAGACGCACAGCCCGAACTGGTCGGCGTGATCTCAAATTGGCTTCCAACAACCTATTTCTTACCGTCTGGTCGGAAATTTCTACACCAGTAGCCGTCCTTAGTGTATTTTGTAGATCTCTTGCAGTTGTGGTGCGGTTACGTAAAGCACAGTTGGCGATCTTGCAAACGTGTAGTTTTTCTCTTTCGACCTCGACCACGCCTTCGTGAGTATTCTCCCGTCTCACGGTATCGCTTCCAAAGTCTGTAGATAACAGAAGGGGCTACACCTAGATCATTTCCTACATAACGCATAGTTCGACCCTCTTTAAGCAAAGCGATAGCTCGGGAGACATGCAATTCAGTCAGATCTGGCATTATGACCTAAACTCACTCGCTTCAATGAATAACAATACTCAAAAGGCTCACTTCAATTTCTATTAATACTCAAAAGATTGAAAAAAACTACTTAAAATGTGTTTTCTGTGATTAGAAAGTAATGAAAATTCAAAGACGTCACTTTGTTTTAGGTGTTTCTAGACACACTGCCACTTTATTATAGGACTACTAACCAAAACGCCGATGCTCTTTTGTTTTTTATTTTCTTCGACAATGCCTTAACATTATCTAGTGGCAAGTAATAATTAAAACCTAAGTAAAAAGTTTAGTTCTACTTTAAAGTTTTGTTCCCGTAATTGTTTTGAGCAGTATATATATATATGTATATTTTTTTTTACTGGGTTACACACAGAATGATAGGAAAAGAGGTGCAGATCTCCGAAGGATCACCAACTGGGAAGACGCAATGACCAGAGCCAAAAGGCTTAAATGGAGATGGAGGCCTGCTCAGAGGCCAGAGAGCAAAATGGTCGAAAAAAGCCACTCAATGAATACCTCGCTACAACACCAAGCGAAGGAGAGGAAGACCTTGTGTGCGGTGGGCTGATGACTTTAAAAAAGCCACCGGTCCTCTGTGGCAAAGACTTGCCAGGGATAGGAAGCACTAGAAACAGCTGGAGAGGCCACAAAGGCAAGCTGTACAAGAGGACAGCCGTGCAACAAAACCTTCGTAAAGAACTTTTTTTCTATATACATATATATTTGTGTAAACTTTCTCTTGTATTAGCTGAAATAAAGGGTTTGAAATTGAAATTAAATTATAATTTTACTACGCTCTATGTACTGCTTTTAGTTATCATAAATTATGATAGAGTTAAAACGATATTTTACAGCCATCCTGTTATTGGCATACAAACTTACAATGTATTTTACCTACTTTAAGCGTCATGTTACAGTTATACTTTGTCATATATATTTAAATATGCACCTACGACTGGGGCAGACAAATTTTACGTTTACCATTTAAACTTAGGTGAGGCCTTTTTATCTATACCCGAAACTATTATTGTTTCATCTGGAATCAAACCCAATACAAAGGTCTAACTATTGTCGTTTACTACTAAGCAATGAAATGTCACAGTGTTCAGGACTAAACCTACTGCTTCTGGATGAGCTTTTATTATTTTTTTCTACATGACATCGCTAATCTTCTAATCGTAGTACTCACCTACCAAAAAACCTTACCTATAAAGACAATATTGCAATTAAACGAAAATTTGCAACAGATTAACATAAATAAAACATAACTCTTAAAAATTAAACAGGTAGCGATACTGTTCGGGAGAATTTTTCTGTAGAATTTCTAAGCAGTTTTCTCAATACCCGTAGCTGGTGTTGCAACTCGGAAAAACATAATATTGAAGTCGGAATTGCTATCATTATTAGGAGTTACTAGTGCCTTTAAGTATATTGAGAGCAGACACCTGTACTAGCAGAAACGGTCAAAGCACAGATTTTCTTTGCACGAACAATGCTTACCCTTGCGATGAAATCGTCATATTCGGTTTTGGATATAAATCTTGAGCGAAGCAAATAAGTGTTACTAAGAACACGTATTTCTTGTCTTGTATAAAACGGAAATTTTTTGCCGGACCTGAAATAATTTACGTTATAGAAATATTTTTTTGTGTTACAGCAGGCAAACGGGCAGAAGGCTTACCACTGCCAAAAGGCTCGCAAGCGCGCTGCCGGCATTTTAAGAATTGGTACGCCCAAGTCGAATTGGTTCGGAATTATTATTAGAAGCTGGTATTACCATACCGATAAACAGCTGTTAACTTTCTAAGCAGCATTTAGATTTTGCTTTATATTATTAACGCCTTTTTCCCGAAGGGATAGGCAGACCACCGATTACCACTTGCTGTGGTCCTGCCTTGCGATTCTGTAACTCACTTTTCGAACTCTCACAGCGGTTTTCGCAGCGGCGGTCGCGCTCAAATCAATCGTGAAGCAGTAATTGTATGTTGTGAGTTCGAAAAGTGAGTTACAGAATCGCAAGGCTGATATTCCTATACTAGAGGAAACAAATTATCACGAAATCGATAAAGAAATCTAAGTCTTTATAATTTCTTTAGTAATACTAAACGCAAAGGGGTTTTTTTTTATATAACAGGGGGTTAAACGAGCCTGCGGGGCGCCCAAAACGGGCAATCCCATAGACACCCATTTTTTAGTGGGTGTGTTGCCGGCCTTTGAGGGAGGAATATACTCGAGATTTGAACATTTGGAGGTCGCATCTTTCAGGGAAGACCCCACCGAGAGTCGATTTCACAGTTCGCTAGTTCGCAAAAGAAAATGCCCCCATTTGTCAAAAATATAGTATATATTCTGAATCTTAAAGTATTTACAAGTTAACTTACTATACACAATCATGGCGCGTGTACGCGAATCTTCCTCAGTAAATGTTGACACTACACACGTGTAGTTCCCACTGAGGTCCGTGGTAGGTCTTAGGATTTTAATAGCTCGGTATGTATGCAGTGGTTCCTCTGCAAACGCGGTTTTTATAAGTAGTGTTACGAAATATTTCATTTTTTTGTTTAACATATACCCTTGATTTGCTTTAAGTCTATACAAATATTATAAAGGAGAAAGCTTAGTGTGTAACAAATAAACTCGTTACTGGACCAATTTCATTAAATAAAATGTAGATCACTAAGTAATAGGCTATTTATCACGTAGGCTATATTTATTTCCAAAATATTTTGAAAAACATATTTATATTGAATAAATAATTAGAGAAAGCTAATTTAAGCATTACCTCTGACGGATGAATGCTCGTATTTATTATTACTTTATTTTCTGAACTCGAGGTTCTGTATGCTTTACAGTATTAATTGTCAGCGAGAAACTGTCACATGTTTTCTTAATTTGTATAGTAGCAAATCCAGTCGTGTGTATTTGTATAAATAAAACTTACCAGAAATCCTGAAATTCAAATCAACCTTTCCTTTTAAGAGGCCGATAACTTGTGGTCGTAATGGTGGAATCCATTGATAGACCAGGCCAGAGGGTCCGTTGAAAAACCACTTCATCACCAGCCCGGCCGGTGAGGGTGTCTTGGTTGTATACTGACAGTCGAGGATCACCGCCTCTGTACCTAATTCCACCATTAGAGGAACATCTATGCGGTCTATGTTAACGGCTAAACAATCTGAAATGGTTATTTTTATTAGTATTTTAAAACATTTATGTTCATAATAATTTATAGAGATTTAACCAAATTATTTGTATGAATAATTTGATAATTTCTGTCGCTTTAAAATTCTTCAAAAATGCAGCCGTATCTACTAATGAACTGAGTTTGAATGAGCCATGATCGTCATATCGTTCAAAGAATTATAAACTATTCGATTTATTTATTTATTTACAAAAATACGTACACTAGCTGTTAACCTCTCATTTGAATTCTTCGCGATGATAACGGATTAAACAGTACTTATCCGGAGCTGGATATATTCGGTAGTGGGCTGATCAATTTTAATGGAAGCATTGTTAGTGCCCATCTCATACCTGATCCGCTGTTTTGCTGGTATTTTGTATGCTTTACAATACCCAAAAATTACTAGCATTTTGATTATTTTTTGTAACATTTGTTTACCGAAATTGTCATATGTTTTAGATAAGATAGCTTGAAACATATACCGTAGATATAGTATTATGTATGATGTGGTAATCTTGTGGTGATGTTAATTATTTCGACTATGTGTTTGCGTGTTGTTCCCACGAGAATGTAAGTGCGTGCTCCTATTTCACCATGCCTCCTGCTGATAGAGGACAACTCTTTGTTTTTAATTTATGTTATTATTTTTAATTACTTAAGATGTCATGTGGAACATGGTTTAAAGGTTGCAGCTCCTTACAAACGTTGTGTATAAAAAAAAAACATGGCGATTAAAGAGAGTGGCGGAGAGTGTATTGCCAGTTCTTCTCTTCCGTTCTACGCCCTTGATTTGAGAACTGGCACTAAATGTAAAATTAGAAGCATTAATATGTATTTCTTTACTGACAAGTCATAAGTGTACAATGTGTTACCCATATGATTAAATGATTTTTGAATTTAAATTTGAATTCTTCAATAAATAAATAAAAATAACATATTTTTATTCTTATTATACATACTATTATTAATAACATACTTTACCTGTACGGTAAACCGTCGAACTAGCATATTTCTATTTCAAGTTATTTCGATAAAAACTTCGCACGAACTAATCTAGCAATAGCTTCTATTATTTGGATAGCAACGTCCTAATTGATATAAAACTCATTCGTATAATCACTAAGTTCACAAACACGTAACTTTAAACCCTAATTTAAATCTACTTTTATGTTTAATTGTTTCTACAAATGCTAAATGAAGCCTCCCGCACTATTGTGTACCAAATTCTCTTGACCATATCAGATTATACAATATACATAATTTCACTTGCATTCAACTTCATCCAACGAAACAACAAACTTCAAATTGACGAACACGGAAAGTTGAAATACACTAATGACCATAATATGAGTTATTAATAATTAATATATATAAGTTAATATCTTACTTGAGCAAATAATCAGAAAAATATATCCCGCATACATAGCGATGTTTTCCGTATTCGTGTCGTCAATTACGACTTTTCAATATCGCTAAAGCGCACTGACTGAAAACTTTTATGGGTTTCAGCTATAAAGAAATTCTGCGCATGTCCAGTCTAGTCGACAAGTTGAAAATGGAACAAAATAGAGATACTGCTCTTAAAATTATGTGCGATAGCTCATTTGAACCGGAATGACGCCTAGAAAAATGTGCTAAAAGCGTGTATTAGCACATAAAAAATTGCAAAAGTTATAGACCATTAAAGATGAAAAAAAAATGGAATTTAGTTTTTGCCAATATTTAATAAACTATTAATATTTAAGAAATTTCAAATAAAGATTCTGAAAGAGGAGGAAATTTCCAATAAAAAACTCTCAGCTCCGGAACTCTATCTCCATTATTTATAACTTTAATTTAACGCTGAAAATAGGTCTGTGCGTGACATTTTTAGGATTCGCGCGTGGCGTCAAAAGCGACTACGGCACATTAATTAATTTATTTAAGGTATTGAATATTTTTTTTAAATTTGAAAAAATTATGGTGTGTTCTGAACACTATAATTAATTTATTCCCGTTGGAAATTTTACTTAAAGTTAATTTTTCAACAAGTTAAATAATTGTTAACTAACGAAATTTTCTCGAACGACCGTCTTAATTGTAAGTGAAAAAAATGTTTTAATAATGGTCGTAAAAATATTTCGCTTCGTAGAGCCTTTCTTACATACATACTTAACAAGATCGTTCCATAAAAGTTAAAGAAATATTTATACTTTGTTTATAACAATTTTTTACTTAAACAAAAACTTAAAAATCCAAGTAATGTTGTTAAAAAATTTTTTTTTTTCTAAATCATCATATTATCGTTTTTATATTAATACAAGATATTTATTGATTTGCAAAAAAAAATTTCCCGCCATTTGTTGATAATTTTTTTTAAACAAATTGATTAAATCAATTGTTTTAAAAAAAAAATTTCTAACTTTATTACATTACAAATATTCTGATTGTTTAAAAAAAAAAATTCCTTAATAACATATTTTAATTGTTTATAATCGTTTTTTTATATTTCTATTGTTTAAATAATTAGTTAAGAAATTTTTTTTTCTAAAAATCATAATTGACAGTCCTCTATAAAGTAACAAAAAAATTTTTTTTAATCAACAATTCTATTGTTTATTAACTTACCAATTTGTTATAAACAAATGTTCAACTTTTTATATTTTTTTCTAAAACTTCTAAAATTAACAAAAACGAACATATATAACAGTCTATAAAAAAAAAAAATTTTTTTTAATAAAAGTAATATTCATGATAATCAAAAAATTTAAAAAAATGTTTTTCTATATTTTGTTATATATGGTTGTTTTTGTTAATTTTAGAAGTTTTAGAAAAAAATATAAAAAGTTGAACATTTGTTTATAACAAATTGGTAAGTTAATAAACAATAGAATTGTTGATTAAAAAAATTTTTTTCTGTTACTTTATAGAGGATTGTGAATTATGATTTTTAGAAAAAAAATTTCTTAACTAATTATTTAAACAATAGAAATATAAAAAAACGATTATAAACAATTAAAATATGTTATTAAGGAATTTTTTTTTTAAACAATCATAATATTTGTAATGTAATAAAGTTAGAAATTTTTTTTTTAAAACAATTGATTTAATCAATTTGTTTAAAAAAAATTATCAACAAATGGCGGGAATTTTTTTTTGCAAATCAATAAATATCTTGTATTAATATAAAAACGATAATATGATGATGTAGAAAAAAATTTTTTAACAACATTACTTGGATTTTTAAGTTTTTGTTTAAGTAAAAAATTGTTATAAACAAAGTATAAATATTTCTTTAACTTTTATGGCACGATCTTGTTAAGTATGTATGTAAGAAAGGCTCTACGAAGCGAAATATTTTTACGACCATTATTAAAACATTTTTTTTCACTTACAATTAAGACGGTCGTTCGAGAAAATTTCGTTAGTTAACAATTATTTAACTTGTTGAAAAATTAACTTTAAGTAAAATTTCCAACGGGAATAAATTAATTATAGTGTTCAGAACACACCATAATTTTTTCAAATTTAAAAAAAATATTCAATACCTTAAATAAATTAATTAATGTGCCGTAGTCGCTTTTGACGCCACGCGCGAATCCTAAAAAATGTCACGCACAGACCTATTTTCAGCGTTAAATTAAAGTTATAAATAATGGAGATAGAGTTCCGGGAGCTGAGAGTTTTTTATTGGAAATTTCCTCCTCTTTCAGAATCTTTATTTGAAATTTCTTAAATATTAATAGTTTATTAAATATTGGCAAAAAACTAAATTCCATTTTTTTTCATCTTTAATGGTCTATAACTTTTGCAATTTTTTATGTGCTAATACACGCTTTTAGCACATTTTTCTAGGCGTCATTCCGGTTCGAATGAGCTATCGCACATAATTTTAAGAGCAGTATCTCTATTTTGTTCCATTTTCAACTTGTCGACTAGACTATCCAGTGAGAACGGGAAGTCTACCTGATTTAATTTAAATCTAAACATTTTAGTTTCACCGGGACTTTCTGAGGATTAGATGGCTTTCGTTTTCTTCCTAGTTCAGCATTCTTTTTTCTGTTGTACTATTGACATTGGTTTTAGCGTAAAAGAAATGTAGGCATTCATATGATAGTCAACTATATTACCGTCTAACTCTCTTTCTATGTTATTAACAAGCTCATATGGTGTTAATATCGTGAAGAAATCCTATTTTATTCAAAAATCTAACGCTGGCTTTTCGACGATAGGGTAGATATTTGGAAAGGGTTAGTTAAATTATTTGTTCAGTAACGATTGTCAATTGCTCAATTGTTTTAAATAAAAATTTCACTTCCTGTCCTTCGAGTCTGCTACCAGACTCGTAATAGTGCTTTTTTCACGTTCCTCACATCAACACCAACTATGCAAAAGACTCAGTTTTGTATCGCGTAGCCCAGAATACAACGACCTCTTGACTTGTTTAAGTTATCGCGGAATATGCTTCAAAAGGATTATTAAGAATATCCACCAAAAAATCTGCACCGTCACTTTCATACCACCACACAACAGCCGAATTATGTTATTTTAATATATTTCATTAATATTTTCCTTTTATAATCATTTGAACCTTTTTGCATATATTACATATTCCATCATTGGCTATATGTGTAGTATAATTGTTTTTTGTTCTATATTATTTATGTTAACAGTAGGATTACGAAATAAATAAACGTGAAATCTTTATTACTTGTTTAACTGAAACAAATCTGATAAAAATATCTTTGCCTTACAAGGAATTAATTAATTTTCCATTCCAAGCTAAACCAAATACTAATTAGTTCAGGCATATAAAGTTGTTACACAAGCCCAGAACAAACAAGTAACTATTTGGTCAGTGGAAATGTATTTTTGTATTAGTAGCGAACGTATTAATTACCACTTCTAATCAACCAAGAAAGAAAAATATTACTCCAGATAATGTAGTAATATTACATAATGAAACTAATGCTCTGCGGCTGGCTATTTGCTGAGTGAACCCATTGCTTTTTATTGCAACTTGTAGCTAACCAACCATTACTAGAGGCTAATACTATTAAAACAGGAGTTTATTTACTCATATAACTTTAGTAGTAGACTTCAATTAAAAAGCCTCCAATAAACCTACGCTGAATTTGTATATGAATATTATCGTGTGAATATAAATTTATTCATACAAAATAAAATATCAGAAAGCATATAATATTACACATAATATACAACATACAATATCGCTACTTTAAACTCGCTCTGCTAATATGTAAAGATGTCGATTATTTCAGAGACAGCATTTAGTAGGCGCAACGCCAGCTAACAGAGCTCTGTGCAACAGAATTGATTCTGGCCCTTGGTACATACATGTTATTAACCCGATAAAGCATTCTACGGTTTATATTAATAATAAGCATTCTTTAGACTAGCGTTAGCCGCTACAGAATTGTATGGAAATGCTTCTAACGTGATCGCTACGATAGTTTGGCCTGAATTGCGCAAAGTATTCTTCGCTATAAAACAAACGTTATAATCTTAATATATATATAAATTACGCGTCACGTTGTTTATCCGCTATGGACTCCTAAACTACTGAACCGATTTCAAGCAAATTTGCAGACCGTGTGTAGTTTGATCTAACTTAAAAGATAGGATAGCTAACATCTCAATTTATACCGGCAATATTATTTTATTTCAAAATATTTGTTTTTTATTTGATAGTCACAGCTAACAGATGGCGCTGTGTTGAAAGTACCAACGTTTCACATAAGCTACAATTTAATGGCATAACCACCAAAAAAGCATGGTGGTCGCCATGACTGGTGTTCTTCTACCGTTTCCCTTGAAGTTTACTACTTCGTATGTAATATAATAGAAACCTTAGGCACAGCAACGCTTGGCCGGTCTGCTAGTATATGTATATAAATCACAGACGAAAACGCGAACATCCATAGATATATACGATGGTCAGAAAGTTTACTTTTAATAAATAGCGTTTGAAGTGCAACTCCAATAAGTGGATGTGCTCGTTCGCTAGTTGATGTCTGCATTAGAACGAGGAACGGTGCTCAATAAGTTTGTTGACATTTCCCTACATTAAAGAATCTTAAATCGATACTTTTTACCGTTCCATTCAAGTTTAGAGACTGTTTCTGTTGAATTGAACTATTCGTTAGTCGATAGTGGATTGGTGATAGGTGGCTTAATTATATAAAACAAAAAAGGTGTATATTAATGGCAATATAAAGGATGACTGTAAATCAGTTGACGTTACAATAATAACAGTATTTTATAACCTATTTACATGTATTTTTAAGGTAATAAAGTGTAATTAAATAATTGTTTTTCATTAAAGTGAAGCGAGCGAAATGTCAATGTGTCAAAAGATAAAATAATACTTAAAATAATATATCTTTCTTAGTTTGAAACTATTTTATGGTAGGTATATTTTGTA